AACCCGATCTCTGGAATTTTTTCAAAAGTTGCTTCCGCTTGTGAAAAGTTCTGCTCAAGTCTTGGCTATTGAACAGCGAAAATCGCAGGTCTCTATCTCATTCCTATCAAAAGTTATTCAAAAAGTGCACTGTATTTTGGTATGGATACTAAATGGAGAAAGGCCTGTAAATGTGAATGATAATCTTCTTTTTCTTCTTTACAATTGTGAAGGGTTAAGTACTCATACTTGTGACCCAGACATCTTTCTTTCTTCTCACACTCCACACATAGTTGTTTTAACGGGAGTCGGCAAGTAGATTCGTAGACTGCCTTTAGGTCCCTCTTACTATTGGGAAAGTGTAGAAGGAGATAACAGCTTTGGAGGAGTGGCAATCCTGTTACACCAAACTATAAGGAGCAAAGTAGTGGAGAAAGATAAATTTTTTAACGTTAGAAATTGAATCTATAAATGAAAAAAAAATTTTAGTTGGAGGAGTTTATATTCCACTTAAACATAAACCACCTTTTGAAATTTTTGAAAAATATTTGGGTACAAATTTCATAATTTTTGGAGACTTCAATGCGAAACATGTTCAATGGGCTTGCGTTAAAAATAATACCAGCGGTAATCAATTAAAAGAATGGATGGAAAATAGCGGATGTGAAATACTGCATCCATCAAAGCCAACCTCGAAAAGATCAGAATCGGTAATCGATTTTGCGATTACACAAGATAAAACAGGTTGAAATACAGAAGTTTTAACGGAAGGGACGTCCGACCACTACCTTGTTATTTTTTCTTCTCCATTTTCTATAAATGAAAATTCACATTTTCGTAAAACAAACTGGAAAATTTTCAAATTTTTTCCTACAATGTGTTTTTGAATGATGGTATTCCATAGTATATGACATCGACCATGATTCATTTTTCGTTTTATTTTCGGACTTTCTCTCTTCTCTTTGGGACAGGTGTAGTGTCTACGAAAAAGTAAAAAAGTATAGGCCACCATGACCAAACTATTTAGTTTTGCTTGCTAAAACAGTAAATAAATGTAAAAGGAAATACCGCAAATTACGTTTTTTACGTCATTATGTGTAATATTCATATTGGAATGATGTGTATAAGAAAGAAAAAATAAACTATCAAGATAAAGGAAGAGATGAAAAGTCAAGTTTATGAAAGAAAACAATAACATTTGGAAAGTGGTAAATCCCGTTTTTAAAAAATATTTTCCATCTTTCCGTGGACTAAAAACACCAAATGGAATAGAAAAAGACAGTCAGAAAATATGTGATAGTTTAGCAGACTTTTATGAAAAACATTTTTCTCTACCTGTTCACGATCAAAATAATACACATCATCTAATATGTTTAGACGCTTATACTGAAATAGCGTATACACCGAATATTCCTCTACCAAAAATCTCTATAGAAGAGGTTATTAAAGAATGGCACAAATTTAAACCGAAAAAATCACTTGATAGTACTCGGACTTCAGCATTTCTGTTAAAAAATCTGCCGTCAGAATACTTACAGATAGTGACAGTTCTTTTTAATAAATGTGCGGAGAGAGGAGAATTTTTCGAGCGTGCTAGGCGGGCGAATGGTATATGTCAGTCTAAAGAAGGAATTTATCCTTCAGAAGACAGACTGCGGTCTATCTCGTTGCTCCCGAACCTCAGTAAATGGTTTGAGAGAATCATAGCAAAGAGAACCGAGAAGTGGTGCTTTGATAACGGTATAAATCTTGACGAACAATCAGGTTCTACAGCTAATCGTCGCCTTCAGACTCGAATTCTCTCTCTAGCAGAAGATCTCCGCCTAACAGTAGCGGCTTCCAACCGCTCAGCGCTGGCGATCTTTGTCGATTTTCTCACAGCCTTGGACCGAATGTGGTATAATGAAAACTCTGAAGGATCTCGAGATGCCTCTGTATCTTCGTCGATGGATATATGTGTGGCTACAAAACCGTATGATGACTATCAGTCACGGAGATGCAGAATCTAAGATTATCCAGATTTTCGTGGGCGCTCCACAAGGATCGGTTGTTGCAGCATTACTATTCCGTTTACACACACACTTTTTGCCTGCTTACCTTGCTCGAATTGTTTCTCGTCTCTTCGCGGACGATCTAACAATGGCGATAAAAGGCCAAGGGGGAAAAGGCGGATCCGCCAAGGTCCTCACGGATCCGCCAAGATCCCCACAGATCCGTCTTAATATTCTTCCGCTAAAACAGCATAATCCTGTTCCCAAAACAGAACAGCCTGAGTCGCGAAACAGGAACAATCGTGTTCCTGAAACAGAACAGTCCGGTTCTTTTATTGGGAGAATTTCCTGGATAACGGGACAATTGTGTTCTGTTCTGTGAATTCTTTTCCCACAGACAGAACATTTTTTGTTTTGCTTGTGGGAACAGAGATTTCTGGAACAGTATTCTGGACTATAGCTGTCAGAATAGAGTGATAGATACCGGTAACTGCCTGAAAAATACATACAAAACAATGTAGATCAAGTATGAAGAAGAAAAAGTAAATACATACAAGAGAATAAACGAGATAGAAAAATAAATACTGGAACACGATAAAGCAAAAATTGAAAAAAAATGAAGGACAACAGAATAAGAATAATAAGAAAAAACAAGAAAGTAGACAGATATTACTAATTATTGGATTAGTAAAAGGATTAGTCAATGGCTTATTAAAGGATCAATTAATTGAGGAAGGAACAAAATGATTACTTTCTAAAACATCATCAAATTATGTTAGTATATCGATGATTTGATCTCATAATGAAACTTATATAAATAGTACCATGCAAGAAGACGATATCTTACTCTCAATTTCAAAATGGCACACTATTCACTACCGCCAGTTGAGGATATGACGTTACGTGAATGGAACATGTGCACTTCGACGTTAGAGGATACAGTATCATTTTGTCAGTCAGTTAAATTGATATCGTACTGGCCAACTGCACCATGTTCCAATGGTCACAATAATTGGTATATGGGAAAATGTTCGAAAATCATCGATGGTAAGCACTGGTACTAAAAGTTTTCAGATGTTTTCACACGTTTAATCAGACTTTTTAGGTTATCACTGGCGTTGTCGTGTGAAAGAATGTAGATTAACACGTTCGATCCGTGATGGAACATTCTTCGCCAACTCCAAATTAGAAATACAACAAGTATTGGATTTAATGTTTTATTGGTCTCAAGGAATCGATACCCATGACTTTCTTCGTCGACATTGCAAATTTGCGAGTGAGTCTACTATCGTTGACTGGAAAAATTTCCTTCGTGATATCTGCGCTGAACATTTTTTAAGGCATCCCGGGATTATTGGTGGGGTTGGAAATGTGGCTGAAATCGACGAAAATGCATGGACAAAAAGAAAATACAATCGTGGACGCGTGGTAGGCAATCAATGGGTGTTTGGTGGAATTGATCGTGACACGAGGGAATGTGTCGCTGTTACCGTCGATCAGCGTGATGCAAGAACTCTTCTGCCGGTCATACAACAATACGTTTTACCAGGTATATTATCTTATATGTGTTCTCTACCCATGATAACATTCAATACTTTTCAGGTACAGTAATATACAGCGATGAATGGAAGGCATACAACACATTAAATAGAAATGTCAACAATTATGAGCACCAACCCGTCAACCACTCCTTGCATTTCGTCGACCCAACCACCCACTTCCACACCCAAAATATCGAGAATCTCTGGATGTGTGCAAAACGAAAAAAGAAGAGCATGATGGGTTTGTCTACAACTCTTCTTCAAACATATCTGACAGAATTTATGTGGCGGCGAAGATTTGGCGATCGACCATCTGAGAAATTGATAAAACAAATTAATGAGCTATATCCTTTCGAACTTTAACACTTTTAGTTTTTTGTTTTTTCTTATTATTCTTATTCTGTTGTCCTTCATTTTTTTTCAATTTTTGCTTTATCGTGTTCCAGTATTTATTTTTCTATCTCGTTTATTCTCTTGTATGTATTTACTTTTTCTTCTTCATACTTGATCTACATTGTTTTGTATGTATTTTTCAGGCAGTTACCGGTATCTATCACTCTATTCTGACAGCTATAGTCATATTTTTGATCGGGATGCGCCGATTCTATTTCATTCTTTAATAATTGTTCTATATCTTGAAATAGAACAGTTTAAAGATTTCGAGATGAGCATGCGATGTCTCGATATTGCTATGAAGAATCAGGAACGATTAATGGCACGACAACAAGCAGATTGTCAATGTTTGATTGAAGCTATGGAGAAAATTGTACAAAGCGATATTGATATTAAATCGATTATTCGAGAAACAGGCAAACAAATAGAAATAAATCTGTTGAAACATCAACCTTTGGATGTTCCAATGTTGCCCTCGTCAGAGCCAAGGAGCAAAAAAAGACTTTTACGTATTATCATTCATGCGATGTCATTCGTGTTATTAATGTTAGCTGTTTGGAATTATATGTTGTTGATTTACCGAGGATTATTTTCTTCCGTTTAATTGACTCGAGAAAAGGTTACCAACATGTACTAGGTAGGAAATAATGTTTTTCCAGGGGAGTACAGCTCAAATGACAAATGATAGCAAAACGAATTATATACCAAATGAAAGCTCATCGAAAATGGGATTGATGAGTATAATTGATATTCCATATGATGATTATTGGCTGTAGAATTATGGAAGTTTCTATCGAGTGCGTCATAATGAATGAGCCTCTTAGTATTTTCTATTTTTCTCGTGTTCCTTTAGGATCCTAAGATTAGTGTTATTTTTAAAAGATGCGCCACAAAATACTCTACAAAACCATGCACAAACTTTAGTTTTAGAACTTCAATCAAGAGAACTACGGAAATTATACGAAAGGCGGAAAAACTGAAAACTTCGTATATTTGGTATTTTTGTCGACTTGAACTTTTTTCCTATGCTACCATTTCCGCAAAAAGTGTAGCAAAAGTGAGCACTAGGCTCTTTTTGTACTTTTGAATATGCTCTTTCTCGTGGTCTGAAAAAAGAAGTCTTAAAGCAGATGGTGTGCTGGAGACCGAAGTTTCAAAAATTTATTCCTGTTTTCAACAATGTGTCCAAGCAAAAAACGGAAAACATGAGCGAAGTTTTGATTTTACAGTTAGGTAGTGAAGAACAAACATTTCTGTTCAAAACAAAACAGACCCAGTCAGCAAAGCTTTTGTTCTGACGAAGTTATGGGACTTTTACTGAAAGCACCATTATACTAGAATTGACACACTTGATAGAAACTTCCATAATTCTACAGCCAATAATCATCATATGGAATATCAATTATACTCATCAATCCCATTTTCGATGAGCTTTCATTTGGTATGTAATTCGTTTTGCTGTCATTTGTCGTTTGAGCTGTACCCCCCTGGAAAAACATTATTTCCTACCTAGTACATAAGTTTTCTGGTGTGTTTTTGAAGAATACATAATAATTTTGTCGGATCTAGTCGTTTTAATGTTAGCATAGTGGCTGTTTTTTTATCTAGTCATTGCGGTGTGTAAACCATTATTGTAACGAATAAATTGGTCTTAAAAAAAGACACTGGCCTCGATGTTCAATGTTATTTCAGAACACTTTTATAAAATGTTCTGAAAGAGCATTTTCTACTCAAATCGTCGTTCTGTAGCATACACTTAAAAGGTGATGGCAAGATATATTTTCAAGATAGTTTCGGGAAATTTATATTTCAGCTTACATATGAAGTCTGGCAATTCACATCAATAATAAAATTAAATCAACAGTGTCGAAGCGGACGAAAAATTCATGCATTTTGTATCTTTTTTCTCTTCTGTTTTTCAGCTACCAAGACACATGACATTTGTTTTCCATACATTTTTGTAGATTTTAAAAAAACACTTCAATTTTTCGCATAGATTTACTTTGATTCATCAGCTCATGGTACCGTCTCCACTCGATTATGTCATTGGAATGCTCAGCGCAAAAGTAGAGAAAATCGACCTGAACAACTTTTGTACCAGCCTATTTTGAAGTCGAGGTAGCGTACGATCATAAAGTCTCGTAAGCAAACTGAATGCCATGCGTTTTACACGACCGCGTTCTAATTTGGAGCAAAATTTCCACGGGCGTTCTAATAAGGAGCTGTGTCAGCAAAAACCTTCACTTTTGATTGTTTCGATAACAGGTCTAGTTGATGAAATAACCGACAACATCATCATCATCATAATCTATGGCATGGCTATTGCGATGTGTGTGTATCATGCGGCTCGCGTCATTCAGTACTTTCTTTTCGGTCAAATAATTGTATTTTTACGTTCTGGGTTGTTTATTAAATCCCAATGGAATTTTGTTTTTTTATTTCTGACTGACTAGTCAGAACTTCATTCTAACGAGTCAAGTAAATATCTATACATTCGAAAAGTGTTTGTTTAATCAATTTGATGCTTCTTCACTTTTTTATTTTTGGTTCATAGAAGTGTTAAATTTGATTTCATATACTTTATCTGCTGTTTTTCTCTAACATATTTTCTTCTTTTCCCTCGACCAACTGTCATGTTATCTAAGTTTTTCACATACAAATAATTTCAGATAATTATCTAATGTAACGATTTTTGTTTTAGAAACAATGTTTGGGCATGGATGATTAAACTGTGAACATTATTTTAGTAATGGGTAGTTTTCCGGGACATGCACTTCCTGGATCAATTTTCATATTTCTTGGTCTAGGATGGATGTATTCAGCATGGTTGCGCTATTTTATTTGCCGACATCGTCAAAAACCCTATTACGTTTCAATATCATTTCCATTTCATTGCTGTTCAGCTGGTCTAAAACTACCGTTGGAATCATTTATTGTTCTATTCGGTACTACACTAGGAATTATGGTCGAGTTAGGCACTGGTTTAAGAAAAACAGTTGATCAAGATGGTATATCATCCTATTCCTTTGGAGCCAACAATTTACAACATTTTACAATGTATTTCATGTTCTTTCTTGTCGGTATTCTTGAATTACTACAGCATTATCATTTTACATTACCTTCCCATATCGATGTTGTTGTTAGTCTTCTAGCATTCTCAGCTGAAGGCTTACTGTTTTATTTTCACGTTCACGCCCGTGATCCTGTTGACATTCAATTGCATATATTATTAGTTCTCTCAATTGGTGCCATTGTTATATGTAGTACATTCGTTTTAGTAGAAAAAATTACAATAGTTTGTATTTTATCTATGTTTGTCATTTCTTCACCAATTTGTTCTTTTATAAGTAATGCTAATATATTTTTTAATGCATTTTTATTTATATGGTCCAGTATGAACAGTAGCACAAAAATTAATAATATCATCTGAATATCATTAATTGTTTTTTTTGTATCATTAATATATTTTCTTTAACAATTACTTTTTCTTTTCTGTTTCCGCCGTTTAGTTTATATCTCGAATATTCGACCTTCGTTGATTTTCAGTATTCAGTTAAGTAACAACTTATCGATACATCGTTTATTCTTACTTACATTTCGTTAAACAATCGTCGACTATAACAATCGACTCACAGTTTACTCATTTCTCTTCCCATCGTTTTAATCGCTGTAAAAATAATCATATATTATCGCTTTTGTCCCTATTGAAAATTTGTTCTGTGAATACCTGGCAGATAGAACTATAATATGTCAAGCGAAAAAGACAACAAAAACGATTGAATTACTCGACTAATCAGACTGTACAAATAGTGACGCATCGTTTCTTCACTTTCATAACGATAACGACTTTTTAACCTAAGTCATTCACCACTACTCTATATACAGCAATCGAACCGGTAATGCTGTTGATCAGGGCGCACCATTCAATCATTGGAGTACTTTGTCTTTTTTGGTGAATGAGCCTCATACATTCTGTTGATTGCAAGTGTGTTAATCGATGAAGAAGAAAGTTATTGTTTTGACTTAGAAGATATTTGAAATATGATAGCTTACGTTTTATTAACATTAACACAACAAAAACAGATCGGCTCTCTCGGTAAACAGTATGCACATGCAATTAAAGATTAAATCAACAAATACTTTATCATTTGATCGAGCATGGAAACATTTCTTTATTACTCAAATCTTATTATTGTACTTGAGTTATAAAGGTAAAACTGATCTAACACCTTATATATTATTATTACTTAAATATTATAAATACTTCAGAGCATAATATGTATTTTGTATAATACAAAATTCGGCATAATATGATTGCTGAAATGCATAGGTTAAAATATGCTCGTTCGTGCTCTTTTTCTGGCTTGCATGTATTAACCTTAGTGAGATGGAACGCCAACGTAAAAATATGATTTGGAATTGTCCATCTTTGATGTACCTTTGATGTATCTGTACGTCCAGGCTAGCTTATAGGCGGCTTATAGGCTGAGCTTGGTAAAAAAAAGGTTTTTCTAAAGTTGATTTGTGTTATCTGTAGTTATCTGTCAAAATGACGCTGATTATTTTTGACTTTTTATCTTTATGATCTTCCTTCTTTGTTTATCAGGTATCCGCAAACTCTTGTCTGTTTGTTAGTTTTATGACGCGAACAATAACTTATAAACTCCTTCCCTCTTAGAATATAATCATACTCAAATTTACTCTTGTAGTTTCTTTTTCGTTTGAGTTTTAAGGTATGCACACAGTATTAAATAAAATTCTCTTTTTCTTTTTTCTTTTTAAAAAAGTACTCCCGCATAAGAAAAGAAATTGAGATTTTCTTGAAAAAAGATTGTGAACGTTGCGCGTTCAAAGCCAAAACATGAAAAATTCTGCTTAATGACGTAAGCAAGATTTCCTTCCAAAATCGAACAAGCCCTAGCAAAATGAATGCTACAAAAGCGGCAAAAGATGTCGTACGACAGATTTGTGACTGTAAGCATCGAAACGTATAATTCTCGACGAAACGTGTCTTATGACAGCGTTTTACCCTTGCGGACAGGACGAGAAAAAGTTGTCTTGTCCTTAAAACTCAAGCGATCAACTCAGTGATGACATACGACACCTTTTTTATCATCGGGAATCGAACGAGTCCTTGGAAGTGTTCACAAAAGAAAGAAAAATAGCATCCTGTATTATAGAGAGACTTCAGACGCTGCTTTTTTAATTGAAATGCTCTCTCGTGCAGCAAAATAACATTTCCTACCACACACGATGAACATCCGATTTGAAAAGAAATTCTTTCTTTTTTTTCTCTTCTACCTCTCTCATACTCGCAGCCAATAACAACCAAAAAATAAACAAAACAACCCGGATGAAAAGAGAATCATTATCAGAGTATTCATTAATCAGAGTAAAAATAAACTATACTCTCAATTCTTTTTCTTTTCTGTCGTTTCCTAATTCTGTCATGTAGTGTGTTTTTTATTCCTAATTCTGTCAGGCCCATTCAAATACACGGCGTTTTCACATCGATGTTAAAAACAAAGTTTTTTTCGCTTACTAAGATAATCGAAACTTTCTAAATTTTATATAGGGACACTCAGAAGACAATGGCGAATCGAACCATGTATTTTTTTCTAAAAA